CGGTCACTTTTTTTTTTATAACCTGTATTTAGTGACGTCACAACATAACAGGTTTTTTAATTTTTATATTTTTCGGTCGTTTCCATGCGTTTGTCGATAAATTTTTTTTTGTTAGCAGGTAACACGACGGGGACCGTGAAATTTCAATAAAATTAATTCGATAAGTTAAAAAAAAAAAAAGGAAAAACCTTGTTACACCAATTCCCAAGGAATAATAATAATAATAAATTCTGGAATGAATACATTTAAATTTTAAACCATTCCCAAATTTCAACTGTTAAATAATAATAATAATAATGATATTGGTTTAAATAATGTTTTAATAAAAGAAAATCATCATCGATTTCGATCGTTTAAACAAAAAAATTGGCAGGAAAAAAAAAAGAGATCCTAGGGTTGACTCCATCTGCACATCCTTACAAAAAAGGGGGGAAGGCGAGAGGGAGGTTCGAAAAAAAAAAAGTAATTTAACGTTTTGGAAAAAAAAAAAAAACTTTTCTTCCAGTTTTTTTTTTTTTTTCAATTTAACTTAAATGATGAGTGAAAACTTTTTTTCCCAAAGATTTTTCTTATGCAGGACGATGGGAAAAGTTTCTTTTTTTTAAGGAAGAAAGGGAGGAAACCTCATAAGATAAAAAAAAAAAATTAAAGCTCTGCTTAAAGTTCCACAAAAAAAAAAAAAAAACTTTTAAAAAAATGATTAGGGTCATCCATGACGTGAATTAAAATCATTCTACTTATCATCATCATCATCATCATCGTTACTTTCAGTCATTCATTCGTTATTTAAATCAATCAATTTTTTAAATTATATTAAAAATCATTTTTTTTTTTAGTAAATCAAATTAAATTTAAAAAAAAAACGAATTACAATTTAATTTAATTTAATTTCAATTTAAAATCAAATCAAAGAAAAAAAAATCGACATTTAATTTATTTAATAATAAATTTTAACTCAATTTTTTTTTTTTTTGCTTAATGAAATTTTTAATTTTTTTTTTTTTTATTGTTGAGGGAGCAGAGGGTGAATCGGGGGAGGGGAGGGAAAGAGGGAAAAAGGTGAGATCGAAAAACCCCATGAGAAAACCATTTAAGCCTGATTAAATCGGAAAATTATTATTATTATTTATTTATTTTTTTTTTGTTTTAAGTAAAATAACCGTAAACGAATTTAAAATGATTGTTTGTTTCTTTGTTTGTTTGTTTGTTTTTAGATGGTAAATTAAATTTAACCGATGAATTTTTTTTTTTTTTTGAAAGAGGCGAGAGGAGGAGGAGAAAAAGATTGAGAAGTCTTTTCCAGATAAGTTTTGGATAAATTTTTTAAAAGATACAAAAAAATACTTAAAGGATTTGATGTACGGATAAACCTTTTTCTCTCTCTTTCCAACCCCCTTCCCCAAAATAATCCCGACTATAATAAATAAAAACAAAAAAGGTATGGGGGTTAAAAGTTCAAGGTTTAGACGAACCGAACGAACCTTAAAAACCTTTGAAATATTTTCTAAACGGCCATTTTTTTTTTTTTTTTCAAATTGAAATTTGCCCACTCGCATAACAATAATAATAATGATTTTTTTTGGCTTGAAATCCTGAAAACTTTTTTTTTCCTTTTTTACCTTTTTTCCTTTATTTTTTTTTTTTTTTTACGTTCGTTGACCTAATTTTAACTTTTTGTCTCAGGCATAAATTAAACCCTTTTTAAACCTTTTTATTATTATTATTATTTTTTTATTCTTATATTCTTTTCGTAATGAATTTTTTTTTTTTGTAAGAGGTAGAGGAGGAGTAGGAGGAGGAGGAAGGGAAGAATATATGAATAAAAACGTTGTAGTTTAGTTATTCGCAAGGTAATTACACGTAAAAATGTAGTAGTAATTTTAATTACAATTTATTTAACGAATTTAATATTTAAAAAAAAACTTAATTAAAATTTTTGTTAGTTTTATTATTATTATTATTAATTTCAATTGTTAAAAGTTTTTTTTTTTTTTAAATCTTTTCATTACGTTCATTTATTTCCCTATCTCTCTCTCTCTCTCTCTCTCTCTCTCTCTCTCTCTCTCTCTCTCTCTCTCTCTCTGTCTCTTTTCGTTCTTTTCCTCGAACTTTTTTTTACATTTAAAAAAAAAATCATTAATTTTCCTTGTTGGCACTCTTTAATTTTCACTAATAACTTTTTCTTTTTTTTCTTCATGTTAAAGATTTTGAAAAGGTTTCGGTTCCTTTTTTTTATATATGTTAAACATACAAAAATTACGTTGGTTGTGATAAAGAAAATTCATAAGAAGGAAAAGGTACAAAAAAATAAAATAAAAAAAATGAATGAATGATTCTTAAAAAAAATGTTCGTTTGCTTTTTTTTTAGAATGTAAATAGAGACAGAGGGGGGAAGGGAGGAGGAGAAAGAGAGAGAGAAATAAAACGTAAGAAAAACAAACAGAAAGAAAAAGTGAGAAAGAGGTTGACAAAGAGAAAGAGAAAAAAAAATCAAAGGAAACAATTTTCTGAAACAAATATTATTATTATTATTTTTTCATATGCCGGAGCCTCCTACATTAAAAAAACGTTAAAGGAGGCATCGATCATGCAAAAAAAAAATTTTCAATAACACTGATTTAAAAATCAAAAAACTTATTTTTTTCGTTTCTTTTTTTCCTTTTCCTTTTTTTGTTGCCAATTTTATTTTCAATTCCTTTTCCATTTTTTTTTTTGTTTTTTTTGTATTTCAAACAATATTTAAAACAAAAAGAATAAAATTTCTTTTTTTTTTTTATAAATTTTAATGAGAATAAAATTAAAAAAAAAATTCTTTTATAAAAAGGTTTTGAGATTTAATCGCTTCAAGCAACGAATAGGTAAGGTAAGTTAAAGTAACGAGTTCATTCTTTCTCATTTAACTAAAAGAAAAAAAAAAGGTTTCGACTCTCTCTCTCTCTCTCTCTCTCTCTCTCTCTTTTATTACAACTTATTCGTTGTTTTGTATACTTTCTATTAAAAAAAAAAAAAGGTTCTTAAGGTTTTACCCAAAGGTTTTGACTCATACGTACATTCATCCTTGCCATACTTTTTGTTAATTTTCATCAGACCGAAACCCAAACGTGTTTATGATGTTTAAACATCCATAATAATAATAATAATAAAAAACAACAACAACAACATGGACGATAAAATTTTAGTCTTGTCGTTTTTAAATATTTTTCTTGTTTTTCCCAGCCCCCCCTCTATAATATATAAATAAAAAAAAACCTTTTCCTTCTCATATTTCCAAATTTTCAAATTCAACACAATTAAACGCATATTCTCTCTCTCTCTCTCTTTCTCTTTCTCTCTTTTATATAAATCCTTTATTAAATTTTGTCAAAAGTATATATATATGTACGAAATCCTTTTGGGATTTAAAAGCTTTGTCTGTTTTGCTGTTAAAGTCATTTAAATGTTAATATAACCTCTTAACAATAGATAAACCGGGTTCATGTTATCTACGTTGAGTTTATTAACCTCATCTACGCACACACGCAACCTTAAATTTATTTATTTTTATTTGTTTTTACATATATATGATCGATTAATTATTAATTTATTAATTTTTTTTCTCCTCATCCGTATCGAAAAACGAATAATAATAATAATAATGATAAAAAATGTATGATAATTGAAAAAAGAAAAGGAATGAATTTCGGGATTAGTGGAATTGGCGGCGACGGTGGCGACGTCAGCGGCAGCGGGGTAAAATCGATAAAAAAAATATAAAAAATTAGAAACTAACGAGAGATTATCTTACCGGAAACAAATTAAACGTAATAAATAATGACAATACAAAAGGATGAAGAAAAAGAGGCTTAAAGCCTTAAGGAAAAGTTGATTGGTAAAGATAAAAAAAAAGGAAAAAAGGAAAGAGAGAGAGAGAGAAAGGAAAAGGAGGATTTTTTTTATAAAAAAGAATCCATTTCTCTTAAATTCAAACGTGTAATTTTTTTACATTACTCATAATTTCAAAAAAAAAAACCCACCGCCATATTTAATTATTTTTTTTGCGACATTTCAATTTGTTTTTATTTAATTTTTTTTTTTTTTAAAGTTTGTTAAGGTCGTTTAAATTTAAAAGAAAAAAAATCAAATCTGACACGCTCACGTACCCACTTTTTTTTTTTTTAATGTCGTTATAACCTCTTTAAGTGTCAAAATACTTTTACTTGTCTGACAGTTTGTCTCTTTCTCTCTCTCTCTCACTCTCTATTTCTCTTGATTAAAATTATTTATTCTATCGGGTTAGTAAGTCAAGGATTATGCGTGAGGTAAAAAAAAAAAAAAAACAAACACAAACGTAAATTCAAAAGCAAACAAACAAAAAAAAAAGAAAAATTTACCAACGGATATTATTATTATTATTATTATTATTATTATTATTATTATTATTATTATTATTATGAAAAATGATCGAAAGAAAATTACGAGATGAAAAAATATAAATAACGCACGCGTTTAATTTCGTAAGATTTTAGTTTCTAAACTTTTTTTTTCGCGAGAAATTAAACAAAAAAAAGGTGGGGAAGAGCACGACGATACGTTCAAAAGATCTTTCTAGAAATTATCTTCGAAAATGTTTCGTAACTTTAAAAAAAAAAAATAATTAATTTATCAAACAAATTATTTTAATTACAATGAATTATTATTATTATTTAATTAAAGTCGATTCGAAACAAACCTTTCAAACAAACAAACAAACAAACAAAAACATTTATTTATCGTTACGCGGCAATAATAATAATAATTTTCCTGAATGATAAAAAATTCTTTTAAAATAAAAAAAAACCCGCGAAAAATTTATAAATTCAAAACAGGTTAAAACCGCGAATTACAATAATAATAATAATAATAATTTTTCAAAAAGGGTTTTTACAACGACTCGTAACAACAACTACAAACAAGACATAAAATTTAATTTTTTTTTGTTTTTTTTTTTTTAGGTCAAAAAAAAAAAATTATCGTCTGCTATAATGGTGGAAGAAGGCAACATGACGTACGCAGATTTTTTAACAAAGGAAGTAGTTAATGGTTACAACGTTTTATTCAAATACGCAGGTTGTTATTATTATTATTATTACCATCGTTTTAAACCATTTGTTTTAAACTGAATACATTGTAATTATTATTATTATTATTAACGGATTTTCAGATCCGCGAGTGGAAAATTTATTACTAATGAAAAATCCGTTTCCGATAGCTGGAATATGTGCGGCTTACGTTTATTTTGTACTTCATTTAGGCCCAAAATTTATGACGAATAGAAAACCGTATAATTTAAAAAATATTATTATTATTTATAATGCGGCGCAATCAATTTTTAGCGCCGTCATGTTTTACGAGGTGAATTATTATTATTATTATTTTATCTGCTTTTTTTTTCTTTCCTTAATATATATAAAAATTTTTTAAAATTTCCAGGCTGTGTCACATTGGTATAATAATTACGGATTCCTGGAATGCATTCCGGTTAATTTTAACTTATTGAATCCCATCGCGGAAAAGGTAAAAAAAAAAAAAAAAATTTTCCTTCGTTTTCCTTTGTTTTCTTTTGTCACATTTGTCACTTTTTTCCTTTTTGTTTTTTTTTAGGAAATAAGATTGTGTCACCTTTATTTCCTTTCGAAAATAACAGAACTTTTAGATACCGTAAGTTAAAAATTTTACGATTTATTATTATTATTACTATTATTTATGCGTACAGAAAATAAAATTTTTTTTAAATAGATATTTTTCGTATTGAAAAAAAAAGATAGACACGTGAGTCTATTACACGTTTTCCATCACGCCGCGATGCCATTTTCTGTTTGGTTCGGTGTTAAATTTCATCCAGGTAATTTTTTTTTTATACAAACTTACGTGAAAGATAAAATTTTTAATTTTTTTTTTATTTTGTAAAGGTGGTAATTTGGCATTTTTCGGAATACCAAATTTATTCGTACACATTTGGATGTATTTTTATTACATGATGGCAGCCATGGGTCCACAATATCAAAAATATATTTGGTGGAAACGTCACATCACTCAAATGCAATTGGTATGTCGCCATTTTTTTTTTCGTGGTTGTGGAGAACCTAACCCCGTCCGGAAACAATAATTTTTGTTCATTTTTAGGCGCAATTTGCTATCGTCATGATTTACGTATTGATAATATCGGGAAAGTGCACGCAAAATTGGCATTTGGTATCATGGATATTAGTTTTAGACGTTGCTTTCGTCATATTATTTGTAGATTTTTATCGTAAAGCTTACAGAGAGAAAAAAGATAAAAAAACAAAAGGTTAGGTATAATACAAAACAAACAATCAAACAAACAAACCAATCACAATTATATAAACCAAAAGTTTAAAATTTTTATCTTTATTTTAGATGTTAATGACGTCACAGTAGAAAAAACGTCTAAAAATTGGAATTCTAATAATGTTATGGAAGATTCAAAGTGTAATTATAACCTAACAAAGAAAGATTTGTAGTGTAAAAAGAATTCATTCGTTCATACAAAGGTGATTTAATACGCGGTTTTTTTAAATTAAACGAATTTTTTTTTATTCGTAATCACAAAAAAGCGCCGGCGTTAACGTTCACATAGTGTTGCGGTCAAAAACGGTAACGCGGACTTTACGATCAACCAATCAAAAATGAGATAAATTTTTAAAAAAGTTTTTTAAACGAATTATGAGCTACGTGGCTTATATTAAACTTACGTGAAGTAAGTTTTTTTTAAAGTTTTTTTTTTTTTAATCAAAATCGTAAAAATGATTCGAATTCATTTTTTAAACGCTTTATTAACGTTTTGTGTTGTTTGAAAAAACAAAATGGCGAAAGTTTGTTGAGTATATCGACGCGCGCGTTCAGATAAAAACAAAACAGACAAAATAATTTTAATTATATATTTGAATGTAATATTATCAGACGTGTAATTAGTTGTATTAAAAATTATTTAAAAGAGAGGAGTGAAAAAAAATTTTTTTTTTAAGTAAAATAAAAAAAATGGTTTTAGGCGACGATGTTCACCTTTTCGCCATTAGTCTAGACGGCCATTTTTATTACCTTCGTTTATTTTTATTATTATTGTGGGGGAAGTGGAGGGGTAGGGGAAAGGGGGGGGAGGTTGGTAAATCCATAACTGATGAGGAAATGTAAATTTTTTTTTTTTCCCCTTACACAAATCACAGGACTTGTCGGCATCGTTTACATTTACACACGCACACCGACCAGAGTAGAGTAAATTTTTAAAATCGGTAAATTTTTCCCAAACAAACAAACAAATTTTAACAAAAGAATTTTCGATAACGCCTAAAGAATAAAATCTAAAACATAAATAAATAAAAATAAAAATTTCAAAATAATGTCTTTTATTACTTTTACCCGGAAGCTCTCTCTTAAAAACGAATCAGACTTTCCGTTATGACGTAATTTCTACGCCATATTGAAATATTTTCATAATTCAACAATATACATATTGTTTTTTTTTTTTCACGTTTGTCGTTTATCCGTTCGTCGAAAGGAGTTTGTCGATTGTTTTAATATAAATTTAACAAAGTCGTCGTTAAAATCTTTTTTTTTTTTTGGGGGGAAGCAATAATTTCAAAATCCAAATCAAATAAAAATTTAAATTTAAATGGTGACAAAATTAAAAAAAAGGAATCCATTTAAAATCTATTATTTTCGTTACGATCATCATCATCATTATTATTATTATTTAAAATTTATATATAAAACTTACGACGGACAAATTTAAATAAGATTTAAAATTTTATTATCAGTTAATCACATTTTCATTTTAACTTTTGATTGTGAAGTTTTTTGGGAAAACCCTCCCCACCCCCATCCCACCCGCCTCCATTTTATTATTTTAAGTAAAAGTAAAAAAAAAAAAACCTTTTTTGATTACTTAATTTAAAATATTTCAAACCGCAATTATCCTTTTTCCTTGATTATAAATATATATTATAATCATCTGTTGTATTCTAAATTTGTGGTTGAAAACAATTTTATTACATACAACGTAATAATTTTAAATAAAAAAATTTTTCCTTTTTTTTTGTGTTTGTTTGCCGTTTGTGTCGATGACAGGAAAGAGATGCTGGCTCTTTTATAATTTCTCATACAGTTTCATTGTTGTTGTTGTTGTTGTCGCTTTTTGTTTTTGCCATTGTTGTTGTTGTTTGAAATTTATTAAGGGGGGGGGGTGTTAAAAGTAATTTACAAAAATTTTTTTTTACGTACGTACTCGCGTTATCGATATTATGACTTATTTTTTTTTTTACCATCGAAAAACTTTATTAAAAACGATTATTTTAACCTATTGACCTTTAAATCGAAGCGTTATTTCACGCGTGGGAAAATGTTTTTTGTTTTATTACGATTTCGGTTTTGAAATTATTATTAAAAAAATTATTTATTTATTTGAAAAATTGATAGAAAGGTTGTTAAGAAGATTGTTAGTTTTATCATTAAAAAAAAAAAAAGCAGAAGACGTTTAAACCTCAAAAAAAAACCGGTTGAAAAATAATTTTTTATGATGAGAAAAAAAAATGTTGAGTTTAAGATTGATGAGAAACATTCGATATTTTTTTTTTTAATCCATAATAAAAAAAAAAAAAAAATGAAAATAATATTATTACAATGATGATGATGAAAATAACGTATTAAAAAAAAAAAAAGCAGTAGACATTTTTTTTTTACGTGTCTGACCTTTTAAAAAAAAGAAAAGACTTAAAAAAAAAATAAATAAATAAATTGAAAAAAAGAAAATTTGATTCTTTTTTTTTTCTTTTTTTTTACTTTTCTTTTATTTCGTTTTGTTTGTTTGTTTGTTTGTTTGTTTTTTTTTTGTTTCATTTTATTTCTATATTCTTCTTCTTGTCTGTCTTTTTTTTTTTTTTACTTCTTTTTTTTAAATAAAACTTAAGTAAAATGGTATAATAAAAACTATCAATTTTATTTTTTTAAAAACTAATGTAATTTTCAGCTTTCCTTTTTTTCCCTACTTTTTGGATAAAAGTTTTCACAGATCGTTCCATCAAGTAAAAATCCATCCTTTTCATCGAAAAATTTTCCCTTTTTCCCAAAAATTTTCTATTTAAAGTAATGTAAGTTAATATAAGAATGTGGAAAACGTGTATATAAATATATATTTTTTTTATTATCAATCGCTGCGGTTTGTCCTTTTATTTTTTCCTATAAAATTTTATTTTTCATCATAAAAAAAAAAAAAAAATTATTTAATTGTTAGTAACCCGCTGAGAACGAAATAAAAAATAACGCAAAAAAAGAGAAAGAGAAAAAGAGAGAGAGAGAGAGAGAGAGAGAGAAAGGGTAAAAGAATGAGTTAAAATAAAGTAAAAATTAAATATTTAAACCATAATGGAACAATAAAATTTCTTTTTTTTATATACATTTATATAATTAAAAAAGGTAAAAAAAAAAACAAAAAAACTCATTTGAAATTACTGACGGTAAATATTAAATAACCACGTAATATTCAAAAAAAAAATCCAATCAAACGAAAAAAGAAAAAAACGTTGGTAAATTGATTATTTATTTATTTATTTTTTTCGAAATTTTTATTTTTAAACTAATTATGTTAACAACGACAGTGGTGGCGGTGGTGATGAAGGTGGTGGTGGTGATGGTGGGGTTGGTGACTGAGAATACAGCATCAAAATAATTAATAATAATTCTTTTTTTTAAAATAATAATATTTATAAACGGTTTTTTTTATTTCTTTACTGGTTTCGATGGGAATTTCTTTTTTTTTGACGTCACCGATTAAAAATAAAATTTTCTTAATTTTTTTTAACAGTCAGCAGTTTTTGTTTTTTATGATAAAATGAACAAACAAAAAAAGAAAAAGTAAAAGCGTCCAAATAAAATTTTAAAAATTTATTATTGAAAGTTTTTCATTTACAAAAGAAAAAAAAAATATTTCCAATATTAATTTACAGTTTGTCTACTTAATTTCAAGAGTTTTTTTTTTTTTTTTTTTTTTTTTTTTTAAAAAAAAGAAGCAGACGAAAAATGTAATTAAAAAAAGGCCAAAGAGAGGGAAAACAAAAAAAAAAATTTATTTAGAAATCTAACAAAGTAACATTTAATTACGTAAACCTAATTATAAAATTCAATTTTGAAAAAGGGGGAAAAAGAAAGACGTAAAAAAAAAGAAAATTTTTTTCGTTTTCAAAATTCGGTATCCGGTAAATGTTACCAATCGCAAGAAAAAAAATTTCCTTCCACGAAAACGTTTTCATAATAAAAAAAAAAAAAACTAAACAAATTAACAAAAATTTTAAATGAGACGCACAAAAAAAAAGGAAGTGGAAAGAAAAAAACAAAAGGTTAAAACCGGAAATGAAAAATATTTAAAAGGAAACGAAAAAATATTTATGATAACTGATAAAAGTTCAATTCCCTTAAATTTTTCCCATTTAAAATTCGCAAAAAAAAATCCTAAATTTTTTTTATATAGATTTTATAATTCCTTTTTATTTTTCTCTCTTTTATTATTATTATTATCATTATCAGTATTATTAAAGGTTTATAAATACTAAAAAAGGGAGAAATTAAATTTAAAAAGAAAAAAAAATTGAAAATGTTATTAAGGGATGAAGGGCATAAAAGTAAAATGAGAGAGTATTAAAACAAAGAAATAAGAATTTATACATCAAAGTTAATGATCTGATTTTATATAGTTTTATAAAATACAAAGAAATTTAAATTAGTCTGGTAGACGTGGCGGTGTAAAAGGTTTTTTTTTTTTCTTTCCTTCATTTCTTTATTCTAGAAAATTCTTTTCCTTAACAATAAACAAAATGATGTTGTTGTTGTTGTTGTTGCTCTTGTTTTAAATATTTAAAATATTTTCTTGTATAAAAAAAACTTATTTTAAATTTACATCAGGTCATTAAATTTACATTATTAATGTCGATCCTCCGTATAATATAAATAATGGCGTTGACGATGATAATAATGATAATGATGATAACGATAATAATAACCTTAATAACAAAACAGAAAAAAAGAAAAATAGGGGAAAACAAAAATATATAAATTATTTAAGGAGTGCATTACAAGTTGCCTAACTTTTTTTTTCTCCGCCCGTCCTATTCTCAAACGTGAGTATATAAAATATTTATAAATATTAACAATAGCAAAAAAATTATAGCAAATGTCTTTATTGAAAAAAAAACTTTTAATCAAATTAATCGTAAACTTTATTTAATTTAAAGGAAAAAGAAAAGAAAAAAGAAAAAACGTTAAACTCAAACGTAAAAAAAAATTTTTTTTTTTTCCTTTTAAATTCTTCTTAACGAAATTTTCTACTGACACAACAAAAAAAAAAAGAAATTTGATAAAAGAATTGTCGAACGTGAAGGAAAACAAATAATAATAATAATAATGATGATGAAAAAGAAAGTTTTCTAACGAAATTCTATTTAGAAAAAAAAAGGAATACCGATTTGAAAATTTTTTTTTTTTTTATTTTGTTCGATTAATTATTAACAGTTTTTTTTTTTTATGTTTCGTCATGATGATAATTTAATTCCTTTGTCAACAGCAAATAATTCAAAATCAATTTACAAAAAAGAAAATAATAATAATAAAACGAAATAGAAAAAATTAGGAAGAAAATCAAACCGGATGTTTAAATCAATATTTTTTTTGGGGGGTAGGTCAACTTCCGCAATTTAAAAAAAAATTTGCCATAAATTTTCAATCATGCGAATTTTCAAGTAATTTTATTTAAAAAAAAAAAAAAAAGGAAAATCTTTTCGAACTATCTAGAATAAAAATCCGATTTTCTTTTTTTTTTTCTTTAATTTGTTTTAATGTAGTCAAAAGAAATTTTTTTTTCTGCTAGAATCTATCGGAAAACGATTTTCTCCGAGTTTTTCCTTTTTTTTTTTTAATAAAAATTTTTTTTCGCACGATTATTCTTTTTTAATTTTTCACTTTCATCATCATTTATCTATCTAATAAAAATATATTTAAATAATAATAATAATAATAATAATAATAATAATAATAATAATAATAATAATAATAATATATTAATATTTAATTTTAATTATTAAATTTTTTATTCGACGTTATGGAACGAGATGACGTAGTTGCGTAATTAGTAATTGGCGACACATGGCTACAATTTTTATTATTATTTTCATCCGACAATTAAATTCAAAAAAATTTTTTTAAAAAAACGTAGTTAAAAAAACGTAGTTAAAAAAAACTAAAATAATAATAATAATGATAATGATAAATAAAAAACTAATTACGATCTCTTAATTTCCCCCCCCTTTTTTTTTTAATTAAACAGGTAAAACGATCTTTTTTTTTTACCATTTTGACTGTTATTTTAAAAAATATATATAAAGAAAAGAACAAAAGAAAATTTTGACCAATGAAAAAAATTTAAAAAAAAATAAAACTTTTTTTTGATTGGTCGAATAAAAATACTTTCACGTCATTGGTTAATATTATTAATTACGTAAATTTACATCATTGTAAACTGTTACACGTTAAATTTTTTTCTTTTAAACACGTGCAATTAACGTGTTGATTAAACGATCACGTTACGAACGAACGAAATAATCAGTTGGAAAAAAGGAAAAAAGAAGAAGAAAAATTAAAAAAATGTCTGACAAGAATGAAAAATGATTTTTAACGATTTTTTCATTCTTTTTGTAAAAAAAAAAAAAATCTTTTAGATTACAAATTTTGACATGATTTTTTTTTTTTTGTTATGATTCGACATCGGAAATGTTGTAAATTCCCATTCGCCCATTTAATCTCACTTTGTCATTGAGTATGAATAAATCTTTTTTATTATTCGATCGAATGATTTTTTCTAAAAGAACAAAAAAAAATTTTCTTTTGTGATGATTTAAGTAAAAAGTATTCGTTACGTCATTTTTTAAAATAAATTTTTTTTTCTTTCGTAATATTAATTTTTTTTTTTTTTTGACATAAAATGGGGGAAAATGATTACATTATTAAAAATATATTTAAATAGATAGAAAAAGAAAGAAAAATAATTATTAAATGACAAAATCATCCCTATACTAAAACGAAATCGGAAAAACAGAAAAAAGTTTTACCACTTGTTTCGAGTTTAAAAAAAAAAAAAACATTTCAATGGAATTAAATTGAAATTAAAAAAGAAAAAGAAAAAAAATTAACTGGAGAAAAAAAAAGGCTGGAAAATGGGGAAAAAAAAGGGTTGAAATATATGGAAGCCAAAGTAAATTTTTTCATTAATTTATAAAATGTGATTTCTAACATGAAAAAAAAAAACTTCCTGTTATTTCCTTTTTTTTTTTTTTTTCATTCAAAATACAAAAAAAAAAAAAATAGAGAGAGAGAGAAAAAGTTCATTTTGCGTAAAATTTACATTTTATTATTGATTTGTATTTTTTTTTTTCCAATATAAAAAATCACATTAACTTTAATTTTTATATTATTCGAAAAAAAATTCTATATTATCAATAATAAAAAATTAATTACTTTCGTTACCTTTTTTTTCTCATTCTTCCTGAACCCCCCCCCCATTAAAAAAAAAAAAACAAAAATTTATATTTAATATCAAAAATTACATTTTATTTAAAAAAAAATAAAAATAAAACCTCACAAGTAAACAAGTCAAAAAAAATTTTTATTTTATTTAAATAATATGAATTTTTTTTGTCTTCCTAAAAACCTTTTGATAAATAAAAAAAAAATTTTAATAATACTCATAAATAATATTTACAAAAAAATAACCGAAATAAAAAAAAATGACGTAGAACTAGAATAAAAAAAAATATATATATAAATAATTCATGCGAGATATAAATAAAAAAATAAAATATAGCAATGAAAAAGTAACTTTATTTATTTATAGCCCGTTAATTTATTGCTTTTTAAATAAATATTATTAAAAACATTTTTTTTTATTACGTAATTATTTATTACTATTAGTTTTATCATATTTCCCATGAATGGTAATTAAATTATTCATCGCTATTAAGTACTCGACTTTTAAATAATTGTTAAAATCAGCGTATAATTTCATTGACGTCTTTGCCTTACGGTTACCGTGCTGAGGGTTACAGGTTCGAATCCGAATACAAGACGAAATTTTTTTTTTTTATTATTATAATTGTAAATTTAAATTTTTATAAGAAAAAAAAATTAAAACAAAACAAACAAAAAAAAAGTAATTTAATACGATTTACATAAATTTTCCCCCTTAAATAAAATAATCAAAAATATTTTTTATTTAAAAATAAAATTTTATTACGTAATAAAAAATAAAATAAAATAAAAAAAAAAATATTGGCAATAAAATATTATTGTTATGCATTAAAAGAAAGAAAAAAATTTATGTTCCGCCCAGGATCGAACTGAGGACCTTCCGCGTGTTAGGCGGATGTGATAACCACTACACCACGGAAACCCGTATTATTATTTGATAATTATTTCACGGCATTTGTGATTAATTACGTTTTTATTAAAAAAAAAAAAAAAATTTAATTTAATTTAAATAAATAATTACTTGAAAAGTCTGTGCTTTAAAAAGATTTTTTTTTGTGTTTTATTACTTTTAATAAAAAAAGAAAAGTTTTATTTAAAAATTTATCATCGCAAACATTTCAACAAGTGTGCCCATAGTCCTCCTTTAAAATATATAAATTTCAATAAAATGGGCGCGCACGTATGCACACAAATACGTTTACAAATAATTCGAAACGGGTTTTTAATTTTGTTAATAGGATCTCGAAATTTTTCTCATTAAAAATAATCAATAATAATAATGATTTCCTTAGAAAAAATTTTTGTACTTTAATTTACACAGGCCCTTTTGTTAAATCGGTTTGAAAATTATCAAACGGTCAGTTCTATTATTATTATTATTCCTGCACATATCAAAGTTTCTGCGGTCTCACAAATTACCATCACCACATTCACGCAAAATAAATAAACAGACAAACAAACAACGATTCAATCCCTAAACGAATAAAAATTATTTGCAGTCTTGTAAATATATATATATATATATATTAATATGACCTCACGAATTTAAAAATCAATAAATTTTTTTTTTTGACGCAGCCATATTTGTTTATTTTTTGCTAGAATTTGCGAAAAATTTCAAAATTTTTGCTCTAAGTTTGCAAAAAAAAAGCAAAACAAAACAAATATCAGGCTTTAAAGGTCATTGGGCAAGGTTTAAAAAACAAGAACACCTGATTATTATTATTATTTTTTTTGCGTTTTTTAAAAACTAGTTTACTCGTATAATCAAGTTTTCGTGGTGTAGTGGTTATCACATCCGCCTAACACGCGGAAGGTCCTCAGTTCGATCCTGGGCGAAAACATAATTTTTTTTTTCTCTCTCTCTTTTATTTATTAAAAATAAAATAAAAACATAAAAAATGAATTTTAAAATTAACCGTAAAATGTTTCATCATCATCATCATCATCATCAAGTAATTATTAAATTAATTTTCTCTTGTTACATTCTTAGAATAAAATGTTTAAAACGTATTTATAAAATTAAATAATTTTTTTTTTTGGTGGGAAAGAGGGTAATAAAAAAATATGTTTGAAATATAAAGTTTGAAAACTATGTAAAACATTTTATACATATATGTATAAAATTACCCCGTAAGCAATTATCGCTAAAATTATTTAACAACCATTTAATAAAATTTTATTTATTTATTTTTTTAAAAATAAGTTTTATGTGTACTCCGGATAATTTTCTATCTGAAAAAATTTCTTCTTCCTTAATATCAAGTTTTTTTTTTTATTCAGGAATTTCGTTTTAATAAAACAAAGAATTTATTTAATAGATATTTTTAAAAAAATTAATAAATAAATAAGTAAACTTTTTTTGGGGGGAAGTAAAGGGAGGGGGAATTATTTAGTTAACAAGAATGATTATGATTTACGTGAGAATGTTAAAAAAATTTCACCTTTCTCTCTCTCTAATTTTTTTTTCTAGAAATTTTTTTTTTTGCTTTTCTAAAACATTAATTAGTCGAATGATTTCAAGAAAAAAAAAAATTGTTTTTAACGTTTAGCAGACGACAATTTGTGTGTACGGTTTGCATTCATCGTAAATAAATAAATGGAAAAAAAATTGCGAAAATTAATTTTTTTTCGCATTTTTTGTTTATTATTTGTACGTATTGTGCACGCAGTCGCACACGCACACGCACTCACACACCCGCACCCGCACACACGCAAGTTTAAAATGCTTTTATGGGATTTCAAAAAAAAAAAAAAAAATGAATTTAAATAAAATTTTTTTTTAATTTTTTAATTTTATTATCTCAACCGAAAGAAAGTTTTTTTTTTTTTTTGTTAAAAAAAGGTTTGTTCATCATCAACCACCAACCTTTCCTCATCCTTTTTTCCTGTTTTCCTTTTTTTGCTCACCTTAATTTCATTAAAAAATTTATCACGTTTAAATCACTCAACAAGTCAAACCTCTTTTCTGTTTTTTCAACCCGACCACATAAACAAAATAAAAAAAAAAAAAAAACCGCGACGTTTTAAAAAAAAGCAAAAGGGGGGGAAAAAAAATAAACGAAATGAAAATAAAAAAATGGCGGAAAAAAAGGTAGGAAATGGAATTCGGGGAAGAGAGGGGGCGAGCGGGAGAAAAGGGTTTAAAAAAAAAAGTGAAAATAAAAAGGAGAGGTTTTCATTTCGTTTTAACAATTTAAATTCGTGATAAGGTATAAAACTTTTATCGATAATAAATAAATAAAAACAAAATGGCGACACTATGAGATGTCTCCTCGTAAAAACAAGGATTTTATTAATTTTTTTATTTGTATTTTGTGGAAAAGGATTAAGCGGGAGGAGAGAGTTGAAAAAAGATAATTCTTAAATTATAAAAAATTTTAGGATTTTACCCTGATTAAAAAAAAATAGACGAATCAAGGAAACTAAACAACATGGATCCCAACAAAAGAGGGCAAAATGATAAGAAACGAATAATTGGGAGGAGGGTGATAGAGGGGCTCAGAAAAAATGCTAAAAATTGCATAAGAAAAAAAAAAAGAAAGAAAAAAAACTACTTAAAACTTCACGCTGTCAAAATTCAAATGTATATCTTTATATTATTATTATTATTATTTCATATCAATTTAAAAATAAAAAATTTTACTCGTAGAATAAAAAGAATAATAATAATAATAATAATAATAATAATATTAAGAAAGCGCAAGAGAACGTTCTGGAAAAAGAAAAAAAAATATTATTACGAAAAAAGTAAAATAAAAAAAAAAAACAGGAAAAGCGAAGAAACGGAAATGAGAAAGGTTTGAAAGAGAGAGAAAGAGAGAGTGGGAAGGGGAGGGGAGGAGAAGAAGGTGTCGAAAAGGGCGGCGAAAACCCCAAAAAAAAAATTGAAGAAGAAGAAAAAGGATTCGGGGTAAAGGATCGGTTTTCAACCTTTGATTGTTATCATCACATCGAACGAATGGGAAAAACTTTTTTTAAATGGAAAAAAAAAAGAAAATTTTCAAAAAGAAAATAAAGTTAGAATATGACGCTTTTCTTATTGACTCAACTTTTTTCTTTTTTTTTTTTTTTTCAAATGCTTATTCGAATTTTTTTTTTTTTCTCTTGACTAAATTGCAAAAAAAAACCTTTCGAAAAAAAACTTATTATTATTATTATTATTATTATTATTATTATTATTATTATTACTAAGACGACGTCAAAATTTAACTTTATTATTATTACTTCTACCCCTTTCTTTTTTTTTTCTTCGAGTAAGTAATAAAAAAAAAAAATTTTCCTTATTTTTTATTTTTTTTCCAACGTCATTATTATCGCGTTTCCGGTTTTTATGTTTTTTTTTTTTTTTGAAATTTTGCGGGAAGATCGATTTTCATTTAACAAAATAATAATAAAAAAAATGATTTTTTTATGAATGA